CATTGCTGGTTCAATAGTTAGAAAATAAAGTGTGAGCGACGTTTCATCGTGTCGAAGGAATTGATTTACAGATCCGCCATCTTTAATTTGATTTGAGTGTTTTTCAAGAAAAAAGACGGGAATTAATGATTTTATGAAGTTTTTTCTTTTTCCCGGTCAATAACTTCACCGAAAAGGAAGAGATCTTGCTGAAAGATGGGAAATTCTGAAAATTATTGAGATGGCGGAAATTTTACGAGTCAGTGCCCCAATTTGAGGTCGCTCCTCTTAATCGGCGCCGAGTTGTGGCCTTTGTAAACTGCTACCTCCTGCGAATGACCGATCATCTCAATGCTTTCGCCAATGAAGCAGAGCGTATGATTCTGGAGACCGAACGACAGCTTCATGCCGTAGATATAAAGCTGCAGTTGCTTGAGGCAAAGGTAATCCATTGTCATCCTACCTTTTTGTAGCAACATTCTGGAAAGATTTGTAACTTGTAAGTGCTTCAGCTGGCAGCAATACCTGACCCTGGTGCAAAACCTGGCGATCCTACAAAAGCGCCGGTCTCGGAAAATAAGGTAGAGAATTCAGCTTGTAATTTTCTTTGTAAGATCTTGGCAAAGCCTTCTCTACCATTTAGAATGTTGTTCCTTCCGACTCAGTAGCGCAACGATCAGCAGCTTTACCCAGTCAAGAAGTTGTTGGTCCTTCTCAGGTAGAGAAGTGTGAAACTCACCACAAACAGTCTCCATAGTTTATTCCAGCAAAAAGAACTATCTCCAAGTCCTGATGTTAGCGGTGTTTCACAACTGCCCGTACCTTCCGCGCAAGAAACCCCAGCTGCCCAGCAAGATGTTCTTCTAGTCAAGGATGACCCGGCCTATGCCAAATATTTCAGGATGCTGAAGCTGGTTGGTCGCATAACTTTCTCTTTTTTATAATTTTTCCACTTCTTTCTGACCTGGCTTCAAAGATAATCGCGGAAGTCTGTTGTATCTTCTTTTTAGGGAGTTGTGGAAGCTGCAGTGAAGCAGAAAATGCAGTCAGAAGGTTTCGATCCAGCTCTTCTTGAGTAAGTGTCCGACTTCATATTTTTCTAAAATGTGATTGTCTTGATCGATAGTTTATGAAAGCGTACGAAAGACCTTGAAACTTAGACGCAGAAGTTGTTCAGCTGGCGCAACAATGCACAAAGCTGCGTCCAGTGCCTCGTGCAGTTTTGATTTTGAGCATCGTATACACTCTTGGGTTCAGTTTGGGACGAACTAAACTATAGCTGCATGAGTATTTGTGCCAGAAATTAATGACTGGAGAAGATTTTGAATCTATTGTTATTTTTTAGCACACCAAATGCTCCTTCGCCAAACGTGAATGCGCAAGAAGAACCCTCAGAAGCAGCAATTCCCGCGAAAGCGACCGCGGTTGAGAGCGATGGCAGCGACTTTTCTTCAGTTTCATCGTTCAGTGATTCTGACTGATATTCACAATGACTGAATAATTCTGTGATGATAATTTGAGTTTGAAAGATTCACCAGATTTCATTGTAAATAGTCAAACATTCCTCCACTCTGGTATAATTTGCACATAAGAACGTTCCAATAGTTTGCTTTGCCTTACACCTTTCTCGTCTTTACACAGATTACTATGTCTTTACTACAACTATAAAACTACTTTTCAACTGTTCACTTTTTGATTGGGAAAAAT